CAACAAAGGCTCTGGCTGGGGCCTTGGTACAATATGAACCACACGAATGTTCTCCTGGGCCCTTTGTCGAGACTCTGGTGGTTATCGTAGACGTAGCTGAGGCTTTCGCAGAGGGTTCTGACGAGCGGCAATCGAACATGGTTGTTCCTCTACCATATGTCGTGGTGCTGTTTATCGACGCCACGGATACACTGGCTATAAAGTTGTTCGAGTATGGAAGGAATGAAGCTTATCCTCTGCCTTGGGCGGAGGCAGCAGATATCTTTGACGTGACGTGGACGGAGGCCTTGGACCGATATGGAAGGGACGCGTCATCTCCTCCAACATTTTGGCGATGACGTGGTGGTGAGTGCCGACGTGTCAGGGACATTGGCGGTGGCGTTTGGCGAGAGGGAAGCGAGCGGGGCTTCTCCTCGGCTTTAGGCCGATGTGGTGGCAGCGGATAAAACAACGGCCACGGCATCGGCGCCCGCGAGCTTGCCAGTGCTGGTGAGGGTTATTTGGGCGTGCGGATCTTATCACGATTCTGCTGGTCTTCGAGGACTCGACTTTCTCGAATGGTATTGAGCCTCAGTTTCAGCCCCGCGATTTGGTGCGTCGTGCTTCTGCCGACCGTACTTCAATTCGGTGATCCCAGCAGGCACGCATTCTTGTGTCTGCACCTCGGCATCGTATGCTGGGCTCGTGGCCTGCTGCGCACGTGAAAGGTAAAGACACAGCGAACGGACCTGGCTCCAGGCATTCTTCATTCTACACGCGGCCAGTTTGTTGTCTCCACCACCTCCGGCCGAATCGTAGAAGCTCCTGTCGAGGGAGTTACACTTGTTCGTTGATGTACGCCTTCAAAAGCCATCGCAGTCCTGGAGGCCGCAATCTTTACGTGACTCGGTAGCAAGTTTCATCCAGAACATCGCCTTCACCGTCGGAGTGGGGGTAGCACACGAAGGTAAACAAGTCATAGACACCCTCAAATGTGTAGGAATGGTCCCAGTGAAATTGTAATCGTGCCGTGCATGTCAACAATCTGCTGAGCTGGTGAAATATTCAGGGCTTTCCATGGGTAATCCTCTTCAGAGGCACGAATCTCCCGCAAGGCGTCTCGTAGCTGCCTCATAATGCCCACCGCGTCGAACTCGATGATCTTCAGCTTCATACTTTCATGCATGAAGACTTCATCGACTATCAAACCATCTTCACCTGCGGCTGACTTGGACGGCCTCATATTGCCTATAGCTGTACCGAATAGCTTGCATCTTGTCGTTGGGCTTGGTCCGCGGAGTTGTGAAATCTTTAGCGTTAAATAGGGCGTTCGGAATCAGGTCCTTCGCCTAGAGTTTCCGGCATCGGTAGACTGTCGCTCACCTTGATGAACTTCCTGTTGCATCTTGAGATGAACGAGAAGTTTTTGCAGGTCGGTTTCCACGTTGGACAGCGGCATGTTGTCAGGGACCTTTACTGGTTGATTCGAAGCCGAAATACTTCTTAGGCTTCCTCCTTCTCTTGCCCTTTGAAACAACGACGGTCGACGTGACCTGAAATTCATCAAGCTCCGATGAACCAGGCGAAGGTCTGGAGCGTTGGTTCCAGCAGTCGGCTTAGGAATCCTTGACGCAGCGAAAATAGCGCGAGCGCCGCGAGCAGCTCTTCTTCTTCTTGACCTCCCCACTTGGCACACGCTGATTGGAGGGAATTTGCTGAGCTCGAGCCGAGGCTGTGTTCCAATTTTTACACAGCACGTAGACAGTCTACGTAGATTGCTTAGAAGACAGCACCAATTCCATGCTCTCCGAGAATCGGAACACGTCTGGGTGGCTTTTACGCGACGAGGCGCCATCTCGCGCCGAGAAGAAAAAAAACCAAAATAAACAAACGCAACAGTTGCATTTTGTGCCTTATTTCGTAATAAAATCTAAAAAAATCAAACGTTACTCACATTGAGCTTCTGGAGAAGCGTCTGCTTGTGTGCAGACGACCATTCTGGCGAGATTCGACCTATCTGAGCGGTTCGCTGAGTCGCTATCTTGTTTAGACAGCAAAGTAGCCTGCATCGTATTTGTCTATGATGCGGTCTTCTCGGAGCTGTCTAGTTTGCTGGCTGCGTGAGAACTGAAATAGGATTTAAGATGGCGGCCATCCATTTAGTTGTCTACTTAGCCGTCTACGGTGAGTATTGGAACACACCCCGAGAATGCGAAATTTTCGTTTTTCTCAGATTGTGGCTCTTGCCCAATATGAGGCTGCACGCACGTTGACGAAATATTGGGGGGACTCTTAAGCTTCACGTTTAAGCGTTCAACACAATAACGATATATGGTCTCTAGTGCGTAGTTCAACCACTTAGTGCGTACTTTTTTGTATGATGCTGTCGGAAGAGTTTAAACTGTAGATTATTATATTGTATAACCGATAAAGTTGTTAGTGGCTTGCGTTAAGATAAAAAAAACTCTCTTTCGAGTATTCATAGTAACCCATACTCAGATCGGCCTGTAAGTCTCAGTCTGGGTGGGTGTTATTTGGGAGAGTTTGAGATGGTGTGACATCGGCTGAGTAAAAAAATGCGGAGGCTGAGAGCACGTGAGTCCGAACCGTAAAAAAACGCCAGGCCTGCGCGGAAGCCGCAGCACAGTAACAGTGAAAACTAGAAGAGCTGCTTTTCAGTGCCTCATCTAAACACTCAGTGGGTAACTGCTGCAAGCACACTTGCTGGGTACCCACTACGACATTATTAATCATAATTCCTGGAAAGTGTGCCAGCATTTGCTATGATATCTTTCGTCATTGTTTTGAGAAGCGTGGTATATCCGCTAAACACTTGCAAGGAATTTTGTGTCAAGTGTTCACGCAGTGGCTGACGACGATGATGAATTATGCCTGAAGTGGGTATGTGCCACAGTTAATAGGTGATCTGTTCATGCAGTGGCTGACGATGATGAGGAATTATGCCTGAAGTGGGTATGTGCCACATTTAATAGGTGATCAAGAACAAGCTTTCGTAATGGCTTGAAGTATTGGAAGGCCCACTAGTTACGGTATATTCGCAAAGTTCTTTGCTGTTCTAAAACACTTTATTACTCATATTAACATGATTCCTTTCCTGACATCAAGCCTGCCTGAGGCAACTTTGCGAACGAGCTCCAAGCACCAGAGTGGCTCAGTGGTAGAATACTAGGCTTGCACGCAGCGAACTTGGGTTGGAGCCCCACTGTGTATTTTGTGTTTTTATTTACACAGTTTCTTTTCCATACTGGTTACGTACACCGGCGGCGGCGGCGGCGGACAATTGCGGTGCCGCGCGTGACCCGTGTTTTGATGCAATAACAGCTTTCGCTGAGTCGAGTTGAGTTTTCGTTGAGTGAATCTCACTAGGCTTCATCTTTTATTGCCGACCTATGTTCCTATCTATACTCATCTTCAGCGTCACTTTCAGCTTTATATCGGCTGACGTTTATACTGAAGTTCATTCACACGTACCTCAACGCACTCATATTCATGCGCCACCACAATATTTACCGCGTGGACATAAATTTCTTTCATGGAAAGCTCCTAATGAAAGCAGATCATGTGAGTCGGTTTTATAGGCTTTATAACTGAAGGTATAAAATCTCAAGCCGTATTGTAGAGCACCAAGTATATGAGACATTGGCATTAAAAGCATCTACACCAAGATAAAAAAATAGTTTTACGCTCGCTGACTCATGAGTCGGCTCACTCCGGCTCGGTCAGACCCACGGCTTGTCTTGAGACTGAGTGAGTCTGACTCAAACTCAAGATAAGCTGTGAATCTGAGTGAGTCCGGCTGAGTAATATGTTGGTGAGTTTGAGTCCGAACGAGTCCAGTTTAGGAAACTTCTGATGAGGCTAAGTTCCTCGTGAGCCCTCGGAGCACAATATATATTTTGGGGTGAATCTGAGTGAGCTCCAACTTTTTTGCCGAGCTATGGTGACTTGTATGAGTGAAGGTTTCGCATATGCATGCGTTTTTGTGTAATGAGCAATATGCTCTAAAGCACGAACAGTTACCTTTTAGGCACACCCTAACCACCTTAACACTTTAGGCTCACCAATTTAAATCGGGTCACAAAGTCCCCAACAGTCTGTTCTGTTATTCGAAACAAAACGAAAACACAGCAATAACCAAGGCCACAAGTGCCTTCGAAGCCTCAGGCTAGGCAAATTTGTGTACAACCCATCATTATCATGGTGGCTGAACGATCACAGCGTCAGAGTGCCCTGCAGTTAATTTTTTGGAAACTCTGTGAGCTTCAGCGTGTCTGCTTCTGCACAGCCTCCGTGGTCGGAGCTATTGGAAGCTTCCTGCACCTCACGTGATTGCGCGGTGCCTCCGAGATCGGCTCACATTCGACCAAGTGAAGGTGCCATACGCTAACGTCATCGGTGTGAAGCCATGTCAAGTGACGCCATAACGTCGTGACAAAGTCACAATTCTTGGCGATCAGTAAAGTCACATAACAGACGGTCTGATCAGGCCAGCTGGCACTAACCCTTACTTTTACGTGGCGCGATACGTTACTAAAGGTACTAGTGTTTTTTTTTTTCGTTTTGTTGCATGTGTTTGGTGAATCTTTGCGCTATCTACAGTGCTGTGAAGTCGCGATGATGTCACAATGTGACGATGTCATCAGGTGATTTCTCGCTTCACTCGTGTTGACGTCGACGACGATCACCTTTCAGGTTTGATGGGGCATATAAGGGTTAGTGCAATGTGAGTAGGTTAACTGGCGGAACATGGGAGAGGCCTTTGTCCTGCAGTGGACGTAGTCAGGCCGATGATGATGATGATGATAATGATGATGATGATAATGACGATGATGATGATGAGTAGGACAAGACACGCTGCAACCGTTTACAGTTTCAGCTGCATCTTCGCTTGCGGTGTCAGTGGACATATATCACTCGGCGTTGGCCACTCTGATATAGTCATATACGCGCATGAGGCCAGCAGTATCCGACGGCTGTGGCCCGTTCAGCGCACGCCAATGCTATTCGTCGACGAGAAGTATTGGCGAGTGCTGGTTGTCGAATACTAGGACGTAGACGGCCACGTTCCTGACGACGAGGTTTCCTTCGACTGGTTGCACGTCGGCCTGCACTCGCACCGAGGGTAGAAATACGTCCATCATCTCCAGATCGATATCCCTGTTCAGAGGCTTGCACCGCATCTCAAACGATATGCTCTTTGGTTCGCAATTGAACTGCCAGAAGAGTGCCGTCTCGGGCACCGTGAGGACCACGGGGATGCTGTAGCGTCCTCCAGCGTTCACCCACACTTCGCCATGGAGACCGGCCGGACCGCACTGGGCGATCTCTTCCAGAGTACGCGTGGCGCCCGTGTGGAATAGCGCGCGATCCTGTGTCGTCCTGGGCGAGCTGTTGTAGGGGCTGCAGGCGAGCAGTGAGCGCGCGATCTCCTCGTCGCTGATGATGTCGAACTCCTGCTTGGCCGAGCTGTTGCCACTGTCGGTGAAGCTGCTGCTGCTCTGCAGAAACTGGGGCCTTCGCAGTCTAGGGAAGGACCAGTTTCGAGTCATCTTCACCTCAGTCCTGGGCGCCGACGCCTGGATGGGTGACGAACTGACAAATGTGTCGGGTGAGCTATTTGAAGAGTCGGTTGTGTCAGTTTCCGACTGCTCTTTCTTCCTCTTGACTGCAAGCTCGCCGAGGTCATCCTCTTCACTCTCACCGGACGTGTTAGAGCAGATGGAAGGTTGCCTGGTGGCACGTTCAAGCTGCTGGTGCTGAAATGCGCAGGCATTGCACACCCTCGCTGGACGGCTGCTTGCGGTTGTCATGAGCCAATTGCAACAGCAGTTGTTAAAGTAGATGTGGCCGCACAGTCTGCAGTGGTGCTTTCTCAACGTGAATTTGATGACAGCGGAACATTGTAGGCAACAATCTGTTTCGTTGTTGTTTATCCACTTGTCAGTAGCTTGCAGCTTCTGCAGAAACTGCAAACTGTCGTTTTGCTTCCACAGCAGGTCCTTCTTTTTGACCAGCTTGACTATCTTCTTCTTGAGCTTCACAGTGTCTACCTTGAGCTGGGCTAGCTGGTCTTCAAACCATGTGACTTGCGCGCAGCTCTGGTCCAACTGCTGCTTCAGCTGGTCCCCGTACTCCTTGTCAACATCGGCTTGCACATGAAGTCTCTTTAGTTCTTCACTGAGAATGGAGCACTCTTCCTCTCTAGATGCCATATCCAGCTGAAGCCTTTCAATCTCTTGCGCGAACTTTGTCTGCTCTGCCACCTGATCCTCTCTGAGGTTCTCAACACACAGTTCGAGCTCTGTGATTATGCGCTCTTGATCCTCCAGCCGTTCACGCATTTCCTTGATCACAGCCTGCTGGGTCACGTAATTCCTGTACAAGTGGCTGTTGGCGGCCGCCTGGTCTTGCAGCCTCTCGGTGAGTGAGGAGACTTCCCTCTCGAGTGGCTGCTGCTTCTCGAGGCTCTGGCGGCGGCTTTGGTCGGCTCGCGTCAGCTGAAAGTCCTTCTGCTCGAGCTGCTCTTCGAGTTCCTTGTTCTTGACCAACAGTTCTCCACGCTGGCGCGAGATCTCCTGCATCTGGACGCTTTTCAAACTTCGCTCCGTACTCATCATCCCGCTCGCCCTTTGCCTCATTTCATTTTCCCGCTGCGCCTTTTCTTCAGCAAGAGTGGCCAACTGCTGGTGCAGTTTGTCGTTGGCCGCTTCCAGGCTTGCAATTTTAGCGCGCAAATTGGAGATGACCTCCTCGCTCTGAGACCTCTCGAGCTTCACCCTGTGCACTATGGTGCCCAGGGTTCTCTTCCTGATCTCGGGCAAATCGCCGTCGCACTCGTCGCCACAGAAGGAAGACACACTGTCACTCGTGGCATCACACTCCTCATCCGCCAGAACTTCGCGTGCCTCGGAACTGTCAGAGTTCAGTGGAATGCTGGAACGAGCCACACCGCGATGCTCCGTACCTCGTGGCATTTGCTAGAGTACTTTCTCCCATGTGCTTCGCTTTTTCAATTGTTAAATTGTTTGAACAACTGATTTTTAATAACGACGGAAACATATGTCTTGTCGCGCTGAACCCTTCCAAACACTCAGTAAAGTTGCTACGAATCAAAATAAAAGAAGATAAGCATATCATTCTCATGATCCTGTCCCAAGCTTTTCTCATTTTATTTCTTTCGCGCTGGTAAGTGTATAACAGCGATTACGAAATGGCGTGTAATTGCGTAAACGTATAAAGATGGTGACACCAAAAGCTACCAGGCTTGGCTGCCAGCTCGTACGAAACATCATACGAAACATGCATCGACGTTTTTCAGCGGTGTTTATGATTTATTTAACTTCATTGCAACCAACTCTTTAAAAAACTAAGGAAGTGCCTGCTAAGCAAAATGGGACGAGTTCTATTCCGGGCCACAATGAGTGCCTAACTGAGGGACGAAATTTAACAACGCGTGCGTGTTTGGATTTTTGCGCGCATGAAATAAAGCCATGGGAGACTACGGGCACGGCACTACCTCTGTAGCCTTTCCTCCACAGCCAAGAAAAGTTGTTCGCGAGTGTAGAGTGCACTCAAGAAAGAGAAGAAAGTCATTCGAACCTTTTTTTTTCTGAGTACTGACTTGACGCGATTATGACTCTTCGGAAACAGGCACGTTAACCCTCTTGGGAGCGATAGAGACTCTTTATTAGAAAACCAGAGATTTTGGCCGACTTCTATATACGCTGACATGCTACTTTTTAAAATGAAGAAGAAGGGGACTAAAATACTTCATAACAGAGGGAAGAAGAGAATTATAGAAAGGTCTAATAACAAAAAGTCACAGCTTTGCCGAAAAGGTGAAGCAATTTGAACGTGATAGCAACAAATTGGAAGGTCACGCGTGGAATGGAAAGCAGGTTGGAACGTACCTCGCGTTTCTCACGCACAAATGGCGTTTGAAAAGAACGTACTCACAGCTACAGATGAACGCGACTACGCGTCTCAGCTGTTCCTTCGCTGTTTCTGAAAAGCGGGCCACTTTCGCAAACGAAAACTGTGCAACAATTTCAATGACCTTTGTGCACCCGGTAACTACAACGGAATCATTCTGGTGAAAGTTCAAAGCCAGCCAAGACGTGCGATCCTATTCACCGCGAGATAAGGGCACGCGAGTGAGCGTCCACCTACCTCCTCTCCGCGGGGCAAAGTACGCGTGGGAGATGAGAGCACGCCGCCGCCTCGTGACAATGTGGCGACGCGCGCTCATTGCGCCATCTTGCTTGTAATGCTAAAAACACGATACCCCCCCCCCCCCCTCGAGATGCCCTCTAAGTGTTAAATATAAATAGCTCACCATTTCAACGTTCAAGAACGGGATCCTCGGTGGCTCAGTGCTTAACGCCTCGCACTCACGTTACAGTAGTCTGTAAGTGACCGCAAAAGTGATCGCAAATAAGTGATCCCATATAAGTGATCGCAAAATATGAAATGTGCAAGTGAACCTAATAAAAGTACTTAGAGTTAGGGCATCAGGTAGGTTATTATTTTCTGATGTGAATTGTCCTATCGTTCGAGCCTGCCGACAAGACCAGTTTCGGACAGGTACCTAATTGACTAATGACTGTAAAACCCGACGCTGTTTTGAAGGTTCGGGCACTGGGCCTAATATGTTACGCAACCTTAACTGGTCATGGCAAATCATGCCCATTTGTCATTCACTCATTGGAGATCACTCTATTCTCGTCGAAGAGACATGTTACTTCAAATCAAAAGAATTAACCAGACTCTTTTACCACTTTCGCCAGCGCAAATAAATAAACTTGGACGCATATGTTTGAGAAGCCGACGTACAGCGAGAGAGATGCTTCTTGGAGGTTCCACAGTCCATCTTGATGCTCCTACACGAAACGCTCCTAAGGGTTAACGACCCCAGCCAAAAAAAAGGAAATATCAGGAACTGTAAATTATGCCATGAACAAAAAAAAAGTTCAACAGAAAGCAAGTGTTTTCTGTGAAACATTGTTAGCAAACCTGTCTTTTAGCGCATCACGAAACTGCTTCGCACGTAGGCTTGAAAGACACTACGTGTAATGTTATGTTATGTACACAAAAACTTTTGTATTTACAGCGCTCACATTTACAGGATAGTTGTGTGTTTTTCTTGCGCTTGATATGTATATTTTAATTTTTTGTGCTCAGCCTGATCAGAGCAGTGTTAATGGTTCTATGAAATTTCTTTGTTCATGCTTACGATGTTTTTTTGTTTGATAATCTTTTTCGTACTATGGTTAATGAATTTGCGGTTTCAAACTCACCGTGTTTCAAAGATATCTCCTGGCTGTACAATTTGACATTATAAACATTGCCATCAGTAACTTTGGGTGCCATAAAAAAATAAGATTTTTCTGAACTACCCGAAAAGGCCAAATTTCTCGCGGTCACGAAAGTGTTAAAAAAGGTCACGTACGTGGTGAATCTGGACTCGCCGAAAAAAAAAACGACGCATCCTCTTCTCTCTCTCTTAGTGTGTCCATGTCTGATACAGTGATGTATTCCTTTTCTTTCAAAACACAGCTGGTGAAACCAGACCAGAATGTGAAGTAGTTCTTAGGTACCGCCATAGCTCGTGATTACTTCAATACCTGTCCGGAGAAACAAAAAAAAAGTCACAGCTTTGCCGCAAAGACAAAGCAGTGAACGCGATAGCAACAAATTGGGAGGCCACGCGCAGAATGGCAAGCAGATCGAGACGTGCCCTGGGCTTTTCAGGATGCATGACGCTTCTCCGCAAGCTCTTTCAGGGAAATTTTTAGATAAAAATATTTCATGTGACTCGCGTATTTTGTAAAAACAAATGTCCTTGCTGGATCGAAACCACTGGCAACTCATATATAAAGGTAGAAGTAATGAAAGACGTATCATAGAGCACCTAATACGTCAGGTATGGGCGTCAAACAGCATTGACACCGTGATTGAAAAAAAGGTGAAAAGCTAATCTTACGCTAACAGACTCGTGAGTCGACTCACTCGGACTCACTCTAACTCAGGTGAAGCCGTGAGTCTGAGTTGGTGAGTTCGAGTCCGTGTGAGTTCCGTCTAGAACGACTACTGTAAGTTTGCGTCCGAGTGAGTCTGGTTGAGGAAAATTTGGTTAGTCTGACTCGGAGTGAGTTCTCGGAGCAAAATGTATTCTTTGAGTGATTCTGAGCGACGTGGGCGTTGTCAGGGAGAGGGGGGTGAAACAGGGGCACCACCCTCTCAAGTCGTACAAGCAGCTGCCCCAACCCCTCCCCAAACTACAGCAGCGCTCTCCCCCTGGCCCAGCCGAGATGGGCCCCCCGGAACGAAAAAAAGATCGCTGCCAACGCTCATGCTGAGTGAGCTCCAACGTCTTTGCTGATCTATGGTCACAGCTAATGATGAGTGAACGACGACAGCAATTATTGATACAAGGACAGGCCGAGTATTTTCCGTTCCATCTGACCCGCAGCACCCATCACAGATGGCTTACCCCTTCGAGCGAAGAACAATTTGCCGTCTAATGTGGGTTTGGCCACAAAAACCTTATTGTGCTTCCCGAAGTCTACAGGACTTCACGAGCGTTTGTAAGCTACTAGAGCATGTTTGGGCACTGTGTGTTCCCACTGTTTCCAATTCTCCTCTTTCTTAGAACTCTATCTTATCAATTATTACCTTTTTTTTCTTCGCACAGGTAGCGCAGCCAACCGAGGGCGTGCTTGCTTGACCACTTTGCCTTTCTCTTTGTTTCTTTCTGTCTCTCTCAGGCCAGTATTGAAACAGCGCTCAGAATGAAAAAATGCTGAAAAACCCACGCACCTCGATCGCGGCCTGCGTCTGTCTCCCTGGTGGTTGCCGTGAGGCGCCCGGCCAACAGCCGACGACAGCGGTCGGACCTGCGGAAGCAGCGCCGGTAAGCGGTGGCCCTCGTCCAGATGGTCCTCCGCAGCCACCACAGCCCCGGTCTCCGGCCGCAGCCTGTCCGCCGAGCGGGGCCGTCTCCTGGTCGCGGAGCAACAGGAGCGCGGTCTCTGGGCGGTGCCCTGCGAGGCCATCCGACGGGAGGAGGCCCGCTGCAGCGGGGCATCTCCCCGGCCACTTCTCTGCACGCTCGGCAGTCGCAGCGAGGACCGCAGGCTAGAGCGCGTCTTCCTGCGACGAGTTGTGCCGGCGCTTGAATATCTCTTACTCCTTTATTTTATGAACAGTGGAGCTGTTTGAGCAAGCAGTAAGGCCGGTGTCGAAGACAGAAAACTCGGCGAGTAGGCACCTCGTACGCACTTCTAATACACATTATATTATGCAGGGTTTTACGTCCCAAAAACCACGATATGATTATGAAAGACGCCATAGTGCACGGCTCCAGAAATTTCGACCATGCGGTGTTCATTAATGAGCACTGACATCGCACAGTGCATGGGCCTCTAATTCGCCTCTCCCGAAATGGGACCGCCGAAGCCGGGATGAAGCACGCCACCTTCGTGTCAGCAGCCGAGCACCGCCGCTGATCCACCACGGCGAACGACACTTGATACAAATATACAAACGAAATCTTGTACCTCAAAGGCATCTCTACGTCGCAATAAAACAGAAAAAGATGCTACAAAATGTGGGTATGTGCCAAGCAGCTCTTAGCCTAGCATGATATTCATACATAGTATAGTATAACGGAAGGTGGGAAATGAAGATTGAGGATGAGCGTTGTGAGGGTGAGAAGACAGCAGAGGAGGGTAAAGGCTAAAGCACTGCACAGCCTTGTATAGCGTTGTTTAACAAGGGGGTGTGAAAGGGGAGTGAGGTGGACTAATATGGGGGTTGGCAGGACTAAATAGTGGACAGAGAGGGTAACATTTAAAGAGATAAAGAAAAATAAAAGAAAGAAAGAAGGACGAACACAACATGCATTTGCCAGGTGGTGGGCATGGCACTTGCTCGCCAGCGTTGCAGTTTACTCAGATTTCACAGGAGTAGAACT